CTTGTCTACTGCTCATTTTCATGAAAAATAAAAAGATTAGGGAACTGGAATCGTTTTCTCAGTTTCAACAAGAGTCCACTTCTGTCTCCATGAAAAACACGTCATGAAGAGGTTCACCCATGCTCTCACTGACCCCACTCTGTCTGCCCTTTTTTCCTTATTCCCATTGTCTCCATCCTGCTTAATCTGGATTCCACTCCCTGTGTCGCTTGAGAACTCTGAACAAGAAGGAAGCGGCAACTGGTTAGTTCTGGAAATTCATAGGGAGCAGATGGTTCTATCCCCTTCAGAACACACTGTGGGCCTCTTGTCCTGAGAAATCAAAACCTCTCATTTTCTACTGCAGTTCTCAACCTGCTCAGCACTTGCCAGGGAGTCTTTGCTGGCTATCTTGCTGTTCTCTGGTTGTCAGGGCCATCCAAGACCCTGCTGCTTCCTTCTGCATCCTTCTGTCCAAACACTGACACCAGGCAGCTCTTTAAGTTCTTAGATCTCGTCCCTATCCACTTGTCCAGGGCTTGTGGGGTTGCTATTTGCCTGGTCTTGCAGAAGGAGTCTGTGGGTTTTGGTTTTGCTGCTGTTAGTTTTTAGGGAAAGTTGTAGAGATTAAAAACACTACACTCGGCCCTCCCTGATGGCACAGCGGGTTAAAGCACTGAGAAGCTGAAGCCACTTCTGCATGAGTTCGATCCCCACCTGCCCAGGAAGGGACCAGATGGTGTGGCAGACCTCTCCTGGCCCACCCGCTGCTCCCCTCAGCAGTGTACTTCGTCGATCTGCCTGTTCTGCTCCCCACGCTGTCTCTGGTGAAATCTCTCACCGCCCCTGCACCTCTGGCCTGTACCCCAGTTCTGTATGCAAGTAAATAAGTCTTTAAACAAAACAAAACAAAAACACTACACTGTGCAGTTACCTTCCCAGAACTGGCACACTCATTTGGAGATATATTTAGTAAGTATCCTAAATTCTAAAATAATGATTACAACTCTATATGCCTTCACCTGAGTCAAATAAAGGCACTAACATCGAAAAAATGCCAGTTGGTAATGCAGTGAACCCCAGGCTTCCTATCACCTTTCTATAAATGTTTATTTCCTCCTATGTGATACATACATGTTGTAAGCATCACACATTGCTTCCACTCTGGTGTACTTCACCAAGGGAATTAAGGGCTTTAAAGTTTGAAAACCCTATGACCCAGTACTTAAGCGTCCAAGTGTCAAACACAAGAAAATACTTTAAAATACAACCAAAAGTTTAAGTACTTAAAAGAAAAAAAAAGTGGGAGTAAAAACCCGTCATGTCTAATAAGAGATCTAACTTAACTAGGAAATTATCATACTATGAAAAGAGTCTTAAAGCAGCACACTTTAAAAACAGTCTGCTAAAGTAATCCACGCTCAGAAACTAGTTACACTTCTGAAAACTCTGGGTCTCCTCCAACTTCAAAGTGATGTGAGGGAAGCATTTATGTTCCCCTGGGCAATGAAAGAGAAAATAGAAACTACAGAAAATAGAGTCTACCCAAGCACACCAATGTGAATGACAATTCAGGATGATCTCAAAAATGGCAGGAAAGAAAGGTGGGAGGGAACGTGTCACGTGCAGGGCACTTCCTTCTACCTGTGTTCTCATTCATTTCCACTTTCATTGACTGCATATGAATTAATAAAGAGAAAAAATAAAAACCCAAGAACAAAAAATAATTCCACTGGATTTACCATTCACCAAAAGAAGTTGGCTGAATTATTAAGAGAACAGTCACAGCTCAGACTTCAGAAATGAATGAAGCGAAAGAAGACACATACAGAAAACCACCAAGAGACACAGAATGACGTGAAACCCAAGTCTGAGAGGCAATTCTGTTGCTGTGTACCAAAATAGTAAAATGTAGATACCCTCTGATTCCTCCAAAGCACCAGCATAGGCAAGGGATTTTTTTTTTTTTCAATTTATGAATCTGATTTCCAATTGTCCTATAATACTCTGTACCCCACAATAACCGAAATGACAAACTGTCCCACAAAACTCACATTTTAAAATTCAAGTATGTAAAATGTAAAACACTGCTGCATACGAAAGGTTTTAAGCCCCTTAAGCCACCTATGTCAGAAATATAAAGAAATCAGTGCCATTTGAAATACATTTCTAAAGTTATTCAGCCTCAAAGAGTTATAATTATGTCTAGAACTACTGCTAAAACACAATTTTAGTTGCTAAAGAGGTTTATGTAAACAAAACAAAGAGCGGTATCAACTGCTATATCCAACACTTTGCGCAAATAATGTGCCAGTGGGTATTAATGAGTATAACTAAAAAGTGAAGAGGAAAAAAAGAAGGGCCTTTTACCCCAACTAAATTGGAAAATATACAACAGCCTTTAATGTACACAGTGCATTTTCCAAGTTTAATATCACAAGTAGGTAATTTTATATCCCAAATAAACTACATATGAGTACATCTTGGCTCCGAGGGTCCCACTGACAGCGTGCTTGGGTAGAATGGTGTCCCTCACCACTGGAGGGAATAAACGGGAGAGGAGGGGTGTGTGCAGGCCAGACCAGCTCAGGAGAGGAGTGGAGGAAAACGATTTCGATGTCAGTCAACAGGTGGGCACTGGGTGAAGCCATCCTTTGAGCGCAGTTAACCAGAGTGCTTTCTGGGCCTCGCTGTGCACGCCTGAATTTAAAAGCGAAGTCTTAAATGTTTACCACGGCCCCTGATGGCATCACTGTTCACATGGCTGTCCCAACGGCTCCTGGAGCCCAGAGGCCTGGTGAGCGGAGCGTCTGTACAGAGCCTGGCCTGTGCAACGCGAATGCTAGCCAGGTAATGTCCCAAGTGCCTTCTCTAGCCCCAAATCAAGAATAGTCCAGTTTTACAGACTTATGTTCTAATTATACTTTAAAATATGTCAGAGAACTAGGATTTAACCAAGCACAGGACTGCCTGCATACACAAGTAGAGACACATCGTCTGCTTGCCTCCACAGCTGATCTGGTTCAATGTACAATAAAAGCCTGCTAGTAAGACTTTCTCTTTGCAAAGTCAGTCCGGCAATGCCTGCGTCGTGCCCTTTCTACCATCCCAAGCCTGGGCCTGTGTGCTGTGTGAGGAGGGCATCTGACAGCAGAAACTCCTTCCTAGCTCCCGTGTCCCCAAACTATCTGCAGAAGTACAGGCAGTGTGCAAGTGTCACGGGAGCAAATGGCTACACTAGTGATGGCTATAAAAACTGTATTATATTCAAAAACAATTATTTTCAGATTCTTAAAAAGCAATTTTTTGACACCAACAGTCAACACATATTATCAGACGGAGCGCAGCCTCCTTTTGAATTTTTCCCCTTAAAAGCTATTGAGATTGTAACAAAAAATATTAAGAGCACAAGGCTGATTAGGAGAAACTAAATTACTCAACAAATCTAATTCTCATCAAACTTCTGGTAATCTCGCATTTATAAAATTAACTCCTGATCTTTATAAACCGTATTCACTCTTTAGATTTCACCGATAAGCCTTTGAGAAAAAGAGCTACTAAGCTGGGAGGTAAAAGTGCAGTCCTGCCTCCTCAAGATTTCATGAAGGAAAATCATCGATATTCATAGGTAAATCGATGAGACACCCCAAAACTCTGGTCCTCTGCTGACCTCAGGGACAAGCGGGCCTCCACCTGGGACAGGCGGCGGCCACGGCACAAGCCAGGAGCTGACCGGTGCTAAGGACTGGCTGTGCCAGAAGGACGGACTTAGACATTTCTATCCAGTAACGAGAAGCTCTTACAAGACTAACATGTTCTGTGAGCACCCCGCAGCTTTCTTTAGGAATGTGACATGCAGCCTCCACACCACTTGGGCTCATCGCGCCCTTGTCGGTAGTGCCCCCCCCCCCACACACACACACAGCAAGGGCCCGCGTGCACCCCTGGAAAGACAAGGAGCGTTCCCGCTGAGCCGCCTGTCCCTCCAGTGAGCACTGCCACTGGATTCCTTGAGTCCCTCATGAGAACAAGTTCTTATCAGAGCTACAATTTCATTTACAAAAGTCTGATGAAAAGTGCACTTCTTTATACAAAATGACACACCGGAGACATATTCTGGTTAATCTCACTTCTAAAACAAAAGATGGTAACATTTTTTCCTTTTCAAAACCAAAGATCACCAAAACCAAAAATAAATGACAAAAACTTCAACAGCCACCCCACTGATGAAATTAAATGGCTATTCAAGAATAATGCTATTGCTTTTCCAAAGACATGTTTTCAGTTTATAAATATAATCAAGTACGCATACAAACATAACCCTCAAAATAAAATGCCTCAAACGTCAGCCTGATTTAAGAACATACATGCTGAAAAGTTAACCGCGCTTTATTCATTAGCTACATAATATTTTCAAGAATTTGAATAGTCATAGAAGGAATGGTTGCCATGTTTTCCTAATTATAAAGCAATTAAAAATATTCTTTCAAAAACGCCTTCATATCGTTTCTCCTATATAAACACAAATGACAGGTTGATGAGAGGAAAGGAGGAAGTGGAGAATAAGGAGGGGCAGGGGAAAGGGGGAAAACGAGAGACACAAAATCCCAGACCACATTTTTTTGACCAACAATATGAGTGTGATATTCTTAATTTAAAGTCAGCATCTACTCCCTATGCCTTTACAGAGCTGCTCTTTTCAACAGGGATTTGAGGGAAGCATGCATTCCACCATAAAGGTGGATTTATTTTTAACAGATATACTTCAATTCTCACAGTGTCTGCCAAATGTCCATTTTTGAAAAAGTCAAGCAGTAGCAAGAACTACGTTGTGTTTGCATCAACGCCACGCTAGGTCACTGATTACCAAAGGGCTAGATACCCCAACTACCTCAGGGCTCATTGATCTACACGGTTACCGGCACTGAGGCTGGTACCAGGAGGCTCCCCCATTCAAACTACAGCACCAGCTCCCACATCCTCTCAGCCATAGTTTTACTGTATTTCAAAACTTGAGTCACCTGTATGCATCGTCTTCTTTCAAGTCTCATACCATCCTGATGGGGTGGGGGGAGGGAGGGAGGAGTCCAGCAGCAAAACTATAACACTGTGTGAAGAAAAACAGACCATGATAAGAGATAAGGATGCAAGACAATTACCCCAATTGAGGACTATCTAATGTCACTATAATCCCCAAAATATTAAGACAAATTACTGAAAATTCATTAACATTTAGTTGTTTATGTGAAAATAATTTTCATTAATAACATCAATTATATAAAATGTATTCAACTGTCAGGAAGAAAAGGTTGCAAAATACACCCACTACCAATGAAAATTTCAGGCATTATTATAAAAAAGTCATTATTCTACTATTCTACATAATTTCTCTGAAAAAAAATCTTTATTCTGTACCTTCCATCAGTTCACAAATTAATATGAATGTGAATTCACTTTTGGAAAATAAGTTACTTTACAGGAAAGCTAGCACGTGCATCTACCTGTGTTACCTGTAACAAAGGTCTAAGACAGGGACACAGGACACTGCCCGCCACCCACCCCAGCCCCCCCCATCCGATCCCCCCACCACCGTCCTGTGTGCCCAGCAGATCCCCACGGTGCAGCCTGCCTGCTGGTACCACTACCAGGGCGCAACTGGCAGGGAAGACCACAGTGGCCAAGGGGAAAGCAAAGCAACCTCACTGCAGCCACCAACAGAGCATGGGACAGCAGGGGCGATAAAGAAGAGCTCAGGCTAAGAGGAACTCAAAGTGAACTCAGTGCAGATTCACTTTTCAGTTGATACTATGTAATTCAGTGAATATTCCTCAGGAAGCTCCGCTAACCAAGTTCCCGGGCTAGAAGAAAGTGACTGCCCTCAATGGGTATCACTGGCCCTGGCCACTGAGCACCCTTACCCTTCTCCAACTGGGCTTTGTCAACGTCAGTGTCGCCCAATGCCTGAACCTGTAATTCCTAAACTTTACATGATGGTACCACAATCCTCTGCTTAATTAGTTCTTCCCCCACATACTTCCTAAGTTAGCCTCCAAAGCTCCTATTACCTCAGCGTAACTCATTTCAGGTACACAACAGGAAGAGAACCACTGGACTGAAATAATCCACTTTAGTATTTGCAATTTTCCTTAAGGATGTTATTTAGTCCAAATGATCCCCAACTGGTAGAATTTTAATACTGTTGCAAAATAAAGTAAAAACCTACTCAGGCAGTTTGAAGGAAGACACCCTTAGGCAAGTAAGTAGCTCATAACACAGATTTGAGTCTGTACTAATTGCCCCAAAATACTTGCTTTTCACCTATTTCTCATACTTTTCAACTCCCAGATTCTTTAGAAGCTCAAATTTTGTACTCCAAATAGCAGCAACAGTTGCTGCTTCCCTGGAAGAGCAGCTCACTGAACATATGAATAACTCATAAATTAGGAACTGCCTGCTTCTGAAATCTTCATGTATAATCCATACTCCCATTTCTGAAGAACCACTTTTTTAGTTTACATGCTACTATGATATGAAGTAAAACCCTAATCACAGAACCAACTGGCATGTATGAAAATATTTTACTCGCAAAAATATTTTTACTTGATGGCATCATTTTCTTGCAATTTTCCATCATAAATGGTCAGTCCTTTACATTCTAAAATGGGCAAGAGGAAAAGATGTGAACTGATTCATTAGGGTCTCTGCCTCACACTCTGTCTACAACTTGCTCACTTTAATAGTTTCAATAGAAATAGACGACATTGATGCTATAAACACTTCCAAGAAGAAAGCAGAACAAGGCATTAGCATTATTTTTATTTTATTAATAAAAATAATGTTCCAAGAAACGAGATTACTCCTCTGTCATTCTTCATTTCTAAAGGTGAGCTAAGCGGACCTCAGCAGGGAGACAGCCCATCTGGGCCATGAGCAAATGTGTCCAAACTGCCCGACCCTAAACTGCCATTGTCTAGGAAATCCATCCATTAACCACTAAACATCGGAAAAACAGACTGTAGCAAAGGGTAAATTACCTCTACAAGTTGTAAAATTTACCACTGGGATGCCCAACAACTAAACACTCTGCCTGACACTGAATAAGGCAAAGCCCAGAAGTGTTGACCTCGAATTGCTTTACATTAAGATTCTAGTGGCTCCTGCTCCACCCTTCCGATTTCAGTTGTCAGAGAAAAAAGCGTCTAATCAGGTCGGAGACTGATGACAAAATAGGTACCAGAAAGGCACCGAACATGCTCTGCAACTGCAGACACCATTTTCTTGCTAAACAAGATTGAAAATCCAAAACTTCTACATTTTCTGAGAAAAGCCTGCAATGAATTTCCCATTTCGCCCCCACAAATGTAGCCATTCACAAATTATGAGTAAATTTAGATGTTAATGAAAAGCATGTACAATCCTTACCACAGAAACCTCTCATAATCCTCAAACTCCCACAGTATGTCTCACTCACATGTTGCCAAAGGCAATATGACGCTCCATGAACAATCTAGGCACGGAGTTTATGTGGTTTCTGAAGCAAAACTTACAAACCATTTTTTAGCTGTCTGGAATTACTGTCTAAAATCACCCCAAAGCACACCTGCGAGGGCAGACACTGCGCAGCCGGGGAGTCAGGCCCCGGCACGGCCGTGGTGGCACAGGGCAAGAGCGGCAGCGCCCAGGATGAGGCCGGGTGAACTCAGGAGTTCCGTGACAGCGTGACGCTGTGTTTCTCGATGACACAAAACTAAGTTATTTTATCTAGTTTCTAAATAACGCAAGTAGGAGGGGAGTATTACAAGCAACGGGTGAAAATAATCAGAATGATACAAGCAATTCTGGGTGAAAATACACGTTTTCAAATTATCTTTTTTTTTATGTTATATATTCCTATATATGTATTTCACAATTTAAAGAATTAACCCTAAGTGAAAAGATTAACTGTAACGTACAACAGATCTAAAGGGACAACGTGAATATTCAGAAGATGCCAATCAGACCAACGTACCAAAAAAAGAGGCAAACCAAAGAAACTTAGTTGCTCGATCTAAACTTTGACTCCACAAATTAAATTTATATTATGAACAGCTAAAAGTGATTCAGTGTAACCAGCTTTCCTCATAAACTTCCATGGCTAGACTAAGGGACTAGGGAAAATGCCTTTTTTCCATATAATTTTAGAAGTACATGTACAAGAATAATGACCACCACGCATCAGACATAGAAGAAAATGAGGAAGTTCAAGGTTCTGGTATGTCATGGCGGGGGCGGGTAAGACACTGACTCCAAGTGTGATGATCCCATGGCACAGACAAAAAATGTATTTTCACTAACCAGGAATTTCAAGAACAGGAATTACGCACACACTAGGGAAGAGTCACTGTCTAGAAAGTAGAAAAAGGCAAAAGCACAACAACTGTGAACATGATAATCAAGTAGGAAAACAACAACAGGCCAGCTCAGTGAGAGGCCCACACCACAGACAGCGGTGCAGGGAGGCCCCGGCAGAGAGCACCCGCCCACAGCTGAGCTGGGACTCTGCTCCCACACCAAAGGTCACTGCCCACACCGAGAAGCTCCTCATCAGGATCAGGACAGTTAGGAGACGTGTGCAGTGCCATGAGAATCTGTCCAGCTGACATACTTGTTGTCTCAACCATACAAACCAAACATGAAATTAAAAAAAAAAAAGTTTAAACAATAGAAAACAGTGTAAAAAACAACAGGCAGAGAAGTTGGGTTCTTGTGCACTAAAGCCTGGGGAAGGATAAAATAGCATGAGCCTGCAGCTGTGGGACTCCAAAGGCAGGCGACATGACAGCCCTACAGTGTTCGGGGAAGACAAGGGCCATAGGACAGGGCCAGCTCTCCCCCAAGAACCAACAGGACCCTGAGGGAGTGCTGGAGCGAGGTTCAGAAACAAAGAACTGAGTGAAATAGAAAGCATGTTACATGCCCAAATTTTTGCTACTCCAAGTGTTGAGTTTCTTGGCCTCGCTAGGACATCTGGGCTCAAATGTGGCGAACTAGGCATCCGGCACACCGGTGTTTGGATACAGCTATAAATGTAGCAAAAAAGGAGGGAAAAACTTCATGTGGATATTTTTACAACAATGTATAATGTACAGGGGGAGTCTGGAAGGTTTCTGGAGGTGAGCTGCTCGCTGCTCCAGTGAGTGCCAAGGAACCCCCCAGACACCAGATCTCTAGCTCAAGTCTGTCAACACAGATGTCCTTTCCTGAATGCTAGGTCCTATTTCCCTTCAGTGACTGGAAATATGACAGGCACAGATTCCAATCAACTTTCTAATCAAAGTACTTACATGATTCTCCTGTATTCCAAGTTCTTCAAGCAAGAATTCTCAAAAGTACAGAACTTTTCAGGAACCTAACTCCCACAACTGCAGAGTGCCTGCTGCATGAAGCAGAAACTAGGAAAAACTCCTTTCTCAAGCACAGGAAAATTCCAGGTGTACTTCTAGCAGTTTGTTGAAAGTCGAAATTAAGTGCTATTCTAATTATAGGCAGAATTAAGCTAGACATAGAAAAGCCTTTCAGAGTTCCAGGCCCAAGTGGCCAGAGCCTCAATATCCTGATTCTCACTGTTGCCAGTTTTTATCGCATGTAGAGTTTTCATCTTTAATGGACACTTGCTAGTATTGCCCTTTAATTCCCGTAACTAATTGCAGAAGGCAGACAACAGCACCACTCCTGAATGGTTTACAGCTAAGGAAAGGCAGGCCCAGAAGCGCTGTGAAGACCCCAGGGCCAAGTGACTGCACTGGCTTCCGCAGCCAAGGCTCTCAGGCCTGCCCTTATTTCTGTGCCCAACCCCCAGCTCCTCTTCCCCTTCAAAAGGAGGAGAGGGCAGACAGGACAGAAGAGATACCTGCCTGCTTTCTCAGTCTAGGTTAAAGGATGTCCTCACCTGAATTTGCCCAACCATCTAGTGCTGCTCTCCTATTGTTTACTTACCCCCACACCCCACCCAGAGAAGTCTTGGATTTTGCCTGGGGAGGTCTTCCAAGCAGGTCTTAACACTCCATTTCTAGCGACCTGCTCCCAGGCCAGCTTCTCCTCAGCCTGTCTTCCTCCCTGCTCAAGGCT